AGCAACCTTGTGCCCAAAACAAGCATCCGAAGATGCAAAACACACCAACTCATAAAATTCAGAAAAGAATGCACAGACAACCAGGTGACTGCCATGCAAACTTGAAAGTGGATGAAGACCACGAGGGTGGGAACTTGACCCTCAATAGTACTCAAGGCAATTTTTGGCCAACTCCCCATTGAAGAAAGACTAGCACCCAACCACCTTGAGACTTGAAGAGGCACCCAGAGCCTTGCACCTGGCAATCTAAGCCATCCAGGTGCAATGATAAATGTTCGAAAGTGTAGGCATGTAAGCCTTCAGCATTCTGGAGAATACCAAACCTGACAACTCCCTGTCCCTCAAAGCTGGCTTAAAAAGTCATGTCTTCCAGCCAGAGATGGTAACCCAGGAAGGTAAACCAAACCCTGGGACAGATGGTCCTCCTAAAGAGGCAAGTGTCTGGGACCAGCTGCACCATGCCAGCATACCCAAGAGCAGTCTGGAGTCACCAGAATGACCAGAATCAGTATCCCACAAACTTGTGCAGCAGGTGAGGTAGCAGCCTAAAAGAAGGAAAGGCAGAAAAGAGATGATACTGGTCTCACAATGCCACCAGCACATCCGTTGAATCTACCAGGGGGTCCTGCACTCTTGCCACAACTGTGGCCCCTCCCAGTGAGGCAGGAAGCCAGAAGACTCATTCCCAGGGTTCCCGACCATAGGCAGATCTGTCAAAAACCATCTGGTTGCAGAGACCACTCTTCCTGATCCAGTGTCTAATGACTGAGGTAATCGGCTTCCCAATTCTTGATGCTAGGAATGTGCATTTCACCTATACATTAGGCTAAATAGACCCAGCGGACATAGGTATGGCTCAAGCTAAAGTTTTGGGGAATCATCAAATCAGGTAGTTCATGAATAAGGCATTGCCCAATGAGTTATTGATTTAAACATGACAATGGAACCCACATAAGAGAACCACCTTGTAGACCTCCACTATTGGGTGACAGTCTAAATAATTTAAACCTCCATTAACAGGATAAATGGTGGATGTGATGTGGAGTTATGATATCAAATCAGGTAAGATACCCCTAGAAGCTCAATTGCTGTATTTAACCACAATGGGTACATACTGTATACAGTGTATGAAATTCTCTATGCACTGTTGTTGTGCTAATCTGAAGGCCACATATAGTTTGGAGGTCTTTAGCTATTGACTCTGCAGACAGTCGGCGACTTCTGCGCACTGTGAGCTTCAACATGTGCTGACCCCGCTCTGTCATTTTAAGTTGCTGTTGTTCCCAGTTGCTTTCACTTTGTTATAATACCACTAACAGTTGACCGTGGAATATTTAGTAGCAAGGACATTTCACAGGTGGACTTATTGCACAGGTGGCAACCTATCAGGGTACCACGCTTGAATTCACTGAGTTCCTGAGAGAGAGCAATTCTTTCACAAATGTTTGTAGAAGCAGTCTGCATGCCTAGGTGCTTGATTTTATACACCTGTGGCCATGGAGGTGATTGGAACACCTGAATCCAATGATTTGGAGGGGTATCCCAATACATTTGGCAATATAGTGTACTGTATATACGCATCTCAGGGCTTGCATCATGGGGTTATACACATCAAACTTGATCGTGATGGCTAACCCTATAAAAAATATATAGTAGCTGCTGGTAAATAATTGCTGATAGTTCACAGTCTCACTCAGCAGTAATAACTTGTTTAGGAAACCTCTTGTAGCAAATAATGATATAATGCTGCAGTCCCATCCACGCAAACTGTGTCGATTAGGAATCTCTGCTATGGAGAGATTTCCACGGATATTCTGAAGTTGTTACTTAGTCTTTATAATGCATGTATCCATCCAGTGAACAGTGACCTTCAATGGAGCGGCATGTGCACTCTTGCATTCATCTCAGGTTGCTGATCAAAGACATGTCTGGTTGCTATGGGCTAAAAAAAAATATATAATATAAAAATATATATATAATATATAAATAAATAAAAAATTATCAGGGGCTAATTTCAAGAGTTGCTCCATTTCCTTGACCCCTGCCTGCTGTCCTGTCATCTGTTAACCACTTGCCCTCCAGAGAATTTTACCCACTCTTCCTGGCCAGGTCATTTTTTGCGATGCAACGCTGTAACATATATTCAATTTATGTCATTTTTGTCCCACAAATAGAACTTTCTTTTGGTGATATTTGATCACCCCTGCAATTTTTTATTTTTTGCACTATAAAACAAAAAAAGACCCGACAATTTTGAAAAAAAAACCCAATAATATTTTTTACTTTTTACTATTAAAACACATCCAATAAAAAAATTAAAAGACAAATCTTCTCATAAATTTAGGGACAAATTTCTGCTACTCATGTCTTTGCTAGAAATGTAAAAAAATTTTAGACAAATTTCATGCATTCCCTCTCCCACAAATTTAGGACACAATGTATTCCTGCTACATGTCTTTGAAAAAAAAAACCCAATACGTGTAATTAATTGGTTTACCATGAAAGGTAATATAAAAACTACCATTTACAAATGGCGGTATATATGATGGGATTTTAATTTTAAATTTTTTTTTATACTAGCAATGGTGTGTGATCAGCGACTTATAATGGGGACTGCAGCAGGCATTCTGACACTGGGATGGAACAGACTAACTGCCACTGACATCCCCAATGATACTAATACAGTGATCAGTGCTAATAAAAAAAGCACTGACACTTTACTAATGACACTGGGCAGCAAGGGGTTAAACATCTGGGGTGATCAAAGGGATAATTGCGTGCTGTGTGTATTTCACTGTGTGCACTATGTTGTGTTTTACTAGGGAGACATGCTGTTTTTGTATCTCTCTGCTGTGCAGAGAGATACAAAGCAGCATTGTCCATGCTGACTGGAGAGAGACCTGTGTTGTTTACTTTGAGGCCGGTCTAATTTGCCATCGTAGAATTTAGCAAAATGTTGTGTTGCCACATTTTTTTTCTTAATTTTGCCCATATGTTCACCAATCCTTACTCTAAATTGTCTTGTCCTACTGATATATTTTGTCCATGGGCATGTCATCATATAAATGACTCTTGCTGTAGAGCAGTTAATTGTACCATTTATGTGGTATTCTTTAGTATCTTGTGAGTCAGAAAATACACTGGTTCTATCCACAAAAGGGCAGACCCTGGCAGTGGCCACAGGGCAACATGCCCTTTGCTCTCAGGTATTGGGAGAGCTAGTTATCATTAAGAGATTTCACAAATCTCAGCACAGTGGCTAAATGGTCAGCACTTCTGCCTGGCAGTACTAGGCTCCTTGGTTCAAATCCCAACCACAACACCACCACCTGCCTGGAGTTTGCATATTCTCCCTGTGCCTGCGTGGGCTTCCTCTGGGTACTCCGGTTTCCTCCCACACTCCAAAGATATGCTGGTAGGTTTAATTGGCTCCTGTCTAAATTGGCCCTAGATGATGTGTATGTATGACCATGCAGAGTTAGGGGACCTTAGATTATACACCCCTTGAGTGTTAGGGACTGATGTGAATGTAATATATATGTATGTAAAGCGCTGCATAAATTGATGGTGCTATATAAGTACCTGTAATAAAATAATAATTAGGTAGTCCCCAAGATTCGTTGCTCTACATACCACCATTTTGTGCTCCGGGCTGAATATTCCAGCTAAGGATGGGCAGCTAGTCAGAACTTTCCAGTGTACACAAAGTACCTCCCTCACCATTTGCCACTGTGCTCCATATTGCGTGATTAGGCTAACAAATTCCTTTTCTTGTTATCATGAAAACTGATTCATCTTGTTTAACTAAAGTTGACCTATCCTGTCAGGGCTCCCGGGTATGACCAGAGGTGTGTGACTGACGCAGGGAAACGCAGACTTCAGATAAGTTATAAACAATTTATTAACACTAACAATACAAAACATAAACGCAGTGCAATACTAAAACATAAACACAGTGCAAATGAACCAAACACAAACCACCCACAGATAACAGTACATACAGTGCAAGTGTCAGGCAGGCCGGGTCAATATCAATCGGGCAGGTAGGTACAGGGGGAGCAAGCGGAGAATAGTCAGGTCACGAGCAGGGTACAGCAACTAACAGGCAGGTAGGGTACAGGGGGTCAGGCAGAGAATGGTCGGGGTCACAAGACAGGGATCGGAACAGGAGAAGTCAGCAGAGGTCAGAATCAAGCCGGGTCAGCAAAACAAGACAGGGACAGGAACAGGAGCAGGATGCAGGAACAAGATACAGGGGGCCCCAGGAAAAACACAACAACACCAGGGCAGAGTCTGCAGGTCTGAATGTCCCTTTAAATTACACCAGTATAATTAGTTCCAAGGTGTTTGACTGGCTGCAAGGTTGGAGGTCTCTGATTGCTGGGAGCACCCGCTGGCCAGCCAATGGTACTGCAGCTCACAAGGCAGGTGAGTCCACTATTGCTGGCCAGTCCATTCCTGACATATCCTGTATGGCCGCTTTTTTTCGAGCACTTTTAATTTGCTTATGTTAATACCCACTTTCACTAAATCTCTTATACATTGGTTTGACTTCCTCTTGGTAGTCAGATATCTTCGTACAGTTGTGGCAGATACATAAGAATTGTTCTGTTGGGATTCCACCTTTTAAGTGTTTTGGATGTGAAGGTCAAACTGTCTGCTTTTCGTAGTGTGTTAGCTGATGTTTCCTTGCAGTTCATTTCAGTAACCAGTGCATTGTTCTCCACAAGTTATTTTTAGGTCAAGAAATGGAATCTCTTTCTCACTAATATTATATGTTAGTAGGGGTGGACTGACAACTCATGAGGCAACCGGGCAATAGGGAGATCATGGGGCCCCTGTGTCCTTGCCCACACTCAAGCCAAACACCCAAAAAAGCCTATATGAAAGGTTCCAGGGGCAACTCATGGGGCCCCTTACTGACCCCGGGCCTCGGGCAGTGCCCGAGTTACCCAAATGGTCAGTCCGCCCCTGTGTTAGTATTTATATTGTTTGAGTAACTATTCAAAGCAATCCCCAGTTGTCTTGTAAGGGATTTCCGGCAAGAAGGATCGCGATCGGAAATGCGCAGCATGCGCATAGGTTGAATTCCTCGCAGGGAGAATTGCATACATGCACACGCATGATGAAGATTGGCGCCAGATGACCTATTTAAGGAGTGCCTCTGCTCATGTTCAGTGCCCTGACTGTGTCTTCAGCTCCCCCGTGTCCTGCTTGTTCCTGTGTGTTTCCTTTGTTGACCTGACCTGGCTTCTTCCTCTCACCTGACTCTGATTGCTCTCCTGATACTGGTTCCTGACTGCGGCTCTGCTCCTGACCCTTGGCTTTTCCTTCAGATTCTGTATCGTGCTGCCCGACTGTTGATGACCCTGGCTAATCCATGACACTGCTCCTGTCTCTTGTCATCAATACCTGCCTTGCTCTGGTGCATGCCTGGCAATCTACAAAAAACCTGCTCTGCCTAACTACTACTGTGCCAAAATCAGAGGATCATCAGCCTTCCAAGGTCATCCATCTGCAAGAGCTGCAAAACAACAACTACTGGCACTCTTGTTCCTCTGGCGTCCTAGACTCCTTCTGTTCCAACTCCTAGCGGGGTCAAGGGCTAGTGACACACGTGAGGCCGACCTCAGTCATTTCAGTCTCCCCATCAGGTACGTGACAGGTCTCAGCTCAGTAAACACCAGGACTGGAGCCAACACTTTGGAGAACACCTGGTGAGACAAAGCTAGCCCGACATTGTTATGTTTTCTCATTTAATCTTTCTGTGGCATTACATTCCCTGAATTATCATGGGAAAGCTATTTGCTGATGTCAGGGACAGTGTTTGAAAACCCCCTTTATCATAGTATGTTGACCACTCGAATACTGAGTTTAGTACTCTGTCTTTCGAAAAAAAAAAAGAAATGGAAAACGTCACAATTTTATTTCTTCATGGAGCTTAGGGATTTCCCTCTGCACTCTAGCTTAGATTTGTTCAATTTTCATGATGAAATCTGATCAGCAGATAACATGCAAACATTTATCCAGGTGTTTCAGTAAAAAAATCTCTTACGATGTAGAAATTATTAAAGATAAACCTCTCGATCACACCCTCCAAGTGTTTTTTCGATCGTTTTTTTTGTCTACCATCCATTTAGGGAGTTCTGGGCTTAATGCAAGGTTTAGAAAGAAAACCATTAGGGAGATTTTCTCATGAAACAACTTCCAAAACCATCTGTTTTAAAAATCAGACACCTTTGACTCATATCTCTTCAGTCTGTGTTCGATGATGATAACTGTCAACAGTTCAAGTGTAAAAGAAAAAAAATGCTCAGCGTGGGCGAAACCATACACCTCGGGTGCAGCAGCATGCTTTAGTTAAGGCAATGCTGTTATGCTTCATAATCATAAATAGTCTATGGGGTGGCGGTGAGTGCCTTTTTATGTAATATTCACTGTGTTACAAACATTCATTA